ACCATTTATTGATTCTTCAGAAGGCTTAAGGCCGTTTCACACTGAGTGTGATGCGAAAAAGCGAGGTGAATTGCCGATAAACTGTGCTTTCACACCGAGCGCGAAACGATTAATTGCCTTCTGCTAATTCACGTCTGCTAGGTGGCGATATCTCGAATATGCTTTTTCGTTGTTTGTTTACACTGGTTTCTCAAAACAGAGCCACCACTCTCACTCTTTTGTGCAACAGCAACTGCTCCAGGCACGTGATCTAAGCTCAAATCTAATTGGACAGCCCATTCGTCGCAGAGCGACAGGGAAAAAACGGCACACAGGACGGAAAAAAACTCACTTTTTCGTGCCGTGAAAGATGGCACCTGGTGTGAATAACCCCATAAGGATCCATTGTTTCGATTCATTGCTCCAAATTTTCATGTGAAAAGGCATTTACAGTGATAGTTATGTATGTTTTTGTGCCACTGACAGTCTCAACCACACAACCTTTTGTTCTCAATCCCGGGATGAACCAAGCTATGAACCTTCCAGATCAGCCACTGGCTACGCACTGTTTGCAGCTCTCCAACATGTTCAGTCCACAGGCGTGAGTTGCATTTATTATTAAAACTATCCTTGACAATATAGTGTATGTGATGTCGAATGGCATGTGTCCTTCTTAAAAGAAAGAAATTGATAATAAAATTTCTTGTTGTGTTGCTTTGTAGGGAAAACGATCCTGGCTGGGACCTGGAGATAAAGGATGATGTCATCGAAGAGTGCAGAAAACACGGAGGCATTGTTCACATATACGTCGACAAGAACTCTGCTGAAGTAAGTCATCACCTTCATACAGTGGCTATAAAAAGTCTACACACCTCTGTTAATGTCACTTTTGTCACCACTTTCAATGCAATATGAAAACCAGTAAAGTTATACATTTAAAAAGCAGCAACATTAACAGTGTGTGTAAGCTTTTTATAGCCACAGTAATTGAATATCACCAAATCTATTGAGAACATGGTCATATTTCCCATCAAAATGGTAAAAAAGGAAAATACAGCTTATTTTAAAATTCTGTTTTTAGGAGCAATAATATCTTTTGCATGTCATTATTTGCATCATATTATAGAATTTGAATTATAAAGTATTTTTACATGTACCATTCAAAGGTCTGTAAGTTTGTAAGTTTCTCTTATGCTCACCAAGGGTGCATTTATTTGATCAAAAAACACATTAAAACAGCAATATTGTTATTACAGTTCAAAATAACGGTTTTCTAACGGATTTTAATTACATTTTTAAAAAGAAATTTTAATAAAAACTAATTTTTTTAGGAATTTAATGAAAATGACCATATAGGTAATAAAGCAATTATGAAATAATTTCTGACCCATTATGATTATGATAATTTAGGGGAATATGCTTATTTGTCATAATTAATTGAAAATAATATCATAATCTATTGGTCCTGAAAAGATGATTCATATTCTAAATGCAAATTAGTGTGTGTGATTTTGGGGTAAAATGTGACCTGAACATGTTTTTTGAGACTTGCCCCTACATTCTAGGGTTCAAAAAGGCTGCTTGTCTTTTTTCCCAAAAAGCCTCATTTTTGCTCGTTTGGCAGGGAAATGTTTATGTAAAGTGTGCAACCATCCCAGTAGCAATGGCTGTTGTCAGCGCCCTGCACGGTCGGTGGTTTGCAGGTAAGCCAATCTCACTTTCTACCATCTACCAATCTTTCCTCTCCATAGAAAGCCTTGTGTTGTTGTGTATGACATTAATCGCACTCTCCTTCCCTTTAACAGGTAAAATGATCACAGCTGCCTACGTGCCTCTCCCTACGTACCATAACCTGTTTCCAGATGCTGCCACAGCCACAGAGCCCCTGAGGCCCATGCACCGGTGATCCACGGAGTGACCCCTGCTTCGTCTGGATCCGTACGCTTACCCTACAACCCCTTCCCAAATGAACAGAGGCAGTCCTGTCATGGAGGGCCGTCTAATGTATGGAGTTGGACTGTATTTTCATATTGTATTTTAGCAGGGGTGTTGTTCTGCGGTTAGAATCACCTTCTCTGCGTTTCGCAAGCTTCAGACCAGCTCTCAGCTACAGTGGTCTATTGATAAGTGAAAACCTGTAACACCGTCGCCCTCTCTAGATGAGCTCTTGACTCCCGAAAACCGGTTTTGAAGGAGGTTCTGGCGTTTTTTGAAAGGTATTTGAGCATCTTTCTGTTTGTTTGATTTTTCTTGTAAGGTTTCTTTCTCTGTTTGGTCTTCAAGTCAAAGTTTTCATCGGTCTTCATCTTTCAATGACAGACATTGTGTTGTGAACTACTGGTTCATTTTCCTTTGTTTCTTCATTTTTAAGCAACAAAAGACAACCAAAAAAATTAGATTTTTTTTTTCTGCAGTCTAGTTGAGCTGTTTAGCTTTCTAAAACATCTTTGAATTTATAACTTTTCATAATCAAGAATAGATTTTTCTAAAATCTTCTACTGATTAAATGACTTTCACAACACTGTGTAAAAATGAGTTCCGTCTTTGTATTAATGCTGTTATTAAGGGTTGATAGACATGTTTTATTACGAGCAGAGCACCTCTAGAGGGAGATGTTAGTATGTTTTACAGTCTAGTTTATTGAATAATGAAGTGTTAAAGGGATAATTCACAAAAATAAAAATTCTGTCTTAATTTACTCACCTTAATGTTGTTCCAAACCTATATGATTTCTGTGAAACATTGAAGCTATTTTGAGAATTTTTTTTTTTTTTTTTATTTAATCACCAAAGCTGTTTGGTTACAGACATTGTTCAAAATATCTTCTTATGTAGAAAAATGAAAGAAAGAAAGTCATACAATTTTGGAATGACATGAGGGTGAGTATATGGCAGGATTTTAATATTTGAGTGAACTTTAAAGTCACTTTAAACTACTGTTTTCTGGATGCATATGATATGGAAAATTATGATTTAAATGACTTTTTTTTTCAGATTTTAAAATACTAAGATCAAAACATTAATATTAATAACTACAATCAGAAACGTTTATATAAAAATAACTGGTAAATAATACAAATGTAATTATTGGAATTAACTGTGACTAAAATATTACATCAAAGTAGGCACTTTGTCTAGTACAGATGACAGCTCTGCGCACTCTTGAATGAACTCATTTTAAGGGTGCAGCTTTATTATTAACCTTAACCAGACATGTAAACTCTGCTAGATGAAATAGATAATGTGAAATGTAATGTGTCTTGAGCCCTCTGTCAACTTCACTGATTGCATCACTAGAATCAATTCCAAAATCCTATAATGGAGCATTGGGGCTTAATGAAATATTGCATAAAATCTTGTATAGCAGGTTAATGTGATTTATTTGAGCTGCACTGAAACCTTGGGAATTTGCCTCAGGAAGTAGCTTGAGTCTGACAAATCTGAGCAGCTAAAGCCAAACCTTCTCTTCCAATCCCAGGATGAACCAGCTCAGCCACGGGCAATATTCCAACTTTCCCAGACAATATGGTCAACATAATGTCAAATGGGATGTGTCCTGGCTAAAAAGGTAGACTGTCTCTGTGAGCGAGCAGCTGTCTGTCTGTATGTGGTGTGATGCAAGACTTGTGTTTAAAGGCACACCTTCCAGCCAATCAGATTTTTTAATTCTTATGTACTTATAGGGATAGTTTACCCATAAATAAATTCTCCTCATTGATTTACCCTCATGTTGTTCCAAACCAGTATGAATTTTTTTCTTCGTACATAAAGATATTTTTAAGAATGTTGATAACCATTTTTGGTACCATTTGACTTATTGTACAGGGGGGGAAAAACAGATATTTTTCCTAATAGCTTTTTTTTTTTTTTTTTTATTGAACCGCAGGACCAGGATTGAGAAAGACTGATCTAGTGGCCTTCCAGCCAATCAGATTTTTTAATTCTTATGTACTTATAGGGATAGTTTACCCATAAATAAATTCTCCTCATTGATTTACCCTCATGTTGTTCCAAACCAGTATGAATTTTTTTCTTCGTACATAAAGATATTTTTAAGAATGTTGATAACCATTTTTGGTACCATTTGACTTATTGTACAGGGGGGGAAAAACAGATATTTTTCCTAATAGCTGTTTTTTTTTTTTTTTTTATTGAACCGCAGGACCAGGATTGAGAAAGACTGATCTAGTGGCTGCAGAAATGCAATGCAAGTATCTAAAATAATAAATGACATGGTTCAGGTGTATAAAAACCTCAATGTGGGTTGAATGCAGATTACAAAAAAAAAAAAAAACACTAAAAGAGGACACAATGTTCAAACATTCAGCTTTTACGTCATCTCAGTGGACTGGCGGACTCAAGTTCTGTGAGACTTCTGTAAGAACCATACAGACCATGACATAACATTAGCAGCCAAGATGGGTTTTTTTTGGCTCTGTATATCCAGCTACTGCCTTTGAGGAATCCTGCGCCCCATCTGTGGTAATAAATCAAATATGACATTAAATCGGCCTGATCTCAGAGACGCCTTATGATCTGCCAGCCAATCTGTCATCTCGGTGAGCCTGAAAAATTTTGCGGTTCATGTTGAGAATAGAGGCTGCCTCATTTTCCAAATCTGAGGAGATTTGGAAAATGAGAAATTACCACACACAAAAAAAAGAAATACAAATATTATACTTCAGTGGCTTGTTTGCATCCGTATTATATTTTAATATCTTATTATATTACTTTTTACAAATATATTTAAATACATGACATACAACTTCCAATGGAAATGACATGCATTTATGTCCTACTTAAAGGGATAGTTCACCCAAAAAGGAAAATTGTCATCAGTTACCTACCCTCAAGTTGTTCCAAACTTGTATGAGTTTCTTATTTTGTTTAACATAAAAGATGCTATTTTGAAGAATGTTGGTAACCAAACAGTTGCACTGACTTCCATAGTATGGGGGGAATTATGTAAGTCAATGGCTACCAGCAACTAGTATTATCTGCAAGTAGGCCTACAGTTTTTAAAAAGATTTCAGATTTGAAGTAGGCTAAGTTACACTAAAAGTGCATAATTTCAATACAGTTAAGTGCACTTCTTTTTCACAAGGGTATCAGTACAACAACAAAAACAGTACAAATCGAATATTTCCCTTATTTTTCAAAGCAGGGTAACTGCACGTGACAGACTTCTGATTCATATGTAAAATAAACAACAAAAAGAAAAGTGCAGTAAATAGTAAAACTGTTTGCGTTACAACCCAATGTGTTTATGATAATTAAAATAACATAATGACAAATACGGGTTTGCAACATTAAGCAGCATTACTGACTGTTTTTGTGTAGCCGAAATAACTAAGCGGCTGACACCGGAAGTCTCGCACATTCAACGTAAAAATGGCCACACCCCCAAAAAATTAGGTGAAAAGGAGAATCTCAAAAATCTGTTGGCGAGAGACCACTTCATTTTTTTATAAAAATCTAATGAAGTAAAACACTCTCACAGTTTTGGCTTTGTGTTTATGTTTTGTAGAGTTGACGTTGTCTTGTTTACTGAGCAGAAGACCTCTAGAGGGAGCTGTGAGCCTATTTACACACTCTTTTCCATTGCGTGGTAAGCATTTGCCACGTTTGAAGTTTTGGAAATTACATTAAAGACACTCTTAAGTTTCATTTTTGGCTAGTTGTGGCTAGAAAAATGCATGCATACGGAATGTTTTGACTGTTTGAACCAGTTACAACATCTGATTATCTATTTACACATGTATATATTTATATGTGAATATGGTGTGGAGTTGTCGTTCATTCTGTGCTTGTTCTATTGTGCTGGACAGCTTGAGAAACAAAACCGTGTAAATCCAAAATATTAGGCATACCAAAAGTCTGTTTGATACTAGGAACCTAGGAAGTGGTCAACAACAGAGTTTCCTAATAATGGAGAGCCAAACACTGTTTTCCCTTGTGAAAAGGCAACCGACTAGCAGACAGGAATGCTCTACAGGAAAAATCCATGTGGAAAAACACCAGCGCAAATCAAAAACAGTACTTTGATGTTCACAGACATCTGTGATAAAGGCTAACCTCGGCAGGAATGAAAAAAAGTGTAGGAAAGAATGAGAATTAATTGCAGAACTGCAACTCATGGCACAATTGGTTGCCACAATTTGTATTCTTTGTAATTGGTGCATTTGATGTGCGTGTTTACATCGTAAACATATTTACAGACATATTTTTTTAGTGTTTGCTCATTTGTCTATAGACATTTAGAAAAGATCTTTTTGATGTTTGGGATTTAGAATGAATATACAACTGACTTGTTAAAGACGTTTATCAGATGTTTGTTCACAGCAGATGCTTTTAACACTCTTTAACAGATTAACTGCAGACGTACTTGTGATTTATTGATATAAGCTAACAATGTGCAAATGCAAAGTCAAGAAACACTGAACATGAATTTTATTCATTTGTTTGTGACAAAATAATGCTGTTATCCTAATAGGGATAATGATTTAATTGTATGCTCCATGTGCTAACCATGTTTCAACTCATTTACAATTTCTCAGAAGCTTGTAACATTTCTCACAAAATGTTAACATTTTACACTGCCTTTCAAAACTTCATGTCAGTAAGATTTTTAAAAGAAGCCTTTTATGCTCACCACGGCTGAATTTATTCGATCAAAAACAAAGTAAAATGTATTACAATGTAAAATTACTGTTTAATGTTTGAATATAAAATGAAATTCAGTCCTGTGATTGTGAAACTGAATTTTAGCAGTCGTTACTCCAGTGTTCAGTTTCACATGATCCTTCAGAAATCATTCTGATATTCTGATTTGCTGCTTAAGAAACATTTCTGATTATCAATGATGAAAAACATTTGTGCTGCTTAATATTGGAAAATGTGATACATTTTTCAGGATTATTTGATGAATACAAAGTTCAAAGGAACAGCATTTATATGAAATATAATTTTTTTTGTAACATTATAAATGTCTTTACTGTCATCTTTGATCAATTAATGTATCCTTGATGAAGAAAAGTATTAATTTCTTTCTAAAAAATGTTTGGGGTCTTACTGACCCCAAACATTTAAAGGGGTCATATGATGCGATTTCAATTTTTCCTTTCTCTTTAGAGTGTTACAAGCTCTTGGTGCATAAAGAAGATCTGTAAAGTTGCAAAGACTAAAACTGGATAGCTGGCTAATCAGAGCACACCTCGCTTTTCAGACCGATTAGTTTTGTAAAAATCGACGCGTTTCAGAAAGGCGGGGCATAGAGGAGAAAAAATAATGTATAGTATGTGGAAAATAATGTGTTTTTTGAACCTTAAACCACATAAACACATTTCATTACACCAAATACACAAAATAATGTTCTTTTTAGCAGCATCATATGACCCCTTTAAACGATAGTGTACAGAATATTAGTTTTATAATATTTAAAAGTTTTAGAGAGAAGATTTGTTTTAACAAAAAACTTAACCCTGTGTCAACCAACCCTGGTTCCTCTTATTTTATTAATTAATGAATTAATTACCTACTTTCTCTTGTTCTTACATGCACTGCTGCAACTGTCTGTTGTGGAACTGCAATGAAAATGCCATTTAGATACAAATAAATACAACCTTCATCTCACTGTGGACCCTTCATAAAGTAGCCTAAACCCTGTGTAGCTTGTGTATTTGATTTGTTTTCCGAATATTCATTTTGGTTGTGACAGGAATACACCCAGTCAGCCTTCAAATCTCGTTCACCAGAAAGTTCTGTTTTTCTGCTAAATATAAGCTCTTCCTTTTTACTAAGAAGACTGGCTTGTTTTAATCTTCAGCAGACGTCCGAAAATCTCTACCACATTTCTTTGGTTTTAATTTAGAGAGAAGTCTGTGAATGTTTAATGCTTTAGCCAAATGGTGGCACACACTCCTACAGAAACTTAGACAGAAACAAAATGCAAATTGAAAAGCTCAAGTGGGCCGTCCGGAAACATTTGTGTCTGGAATTGTTTTCTTCGGTTTTGTTATAGTAGATAATATGCCATCCTACTTGGATTTTGGCTTTGTGTGGAAAACCAAAAGAAAGTTCCCATAATATAACTTATGAACTAAATATAAATGAGCAAAATTGCCCTGTTAAAATGTACTGTTGTCAGCTCAAACAGCATTTTCATGTCAGCATGTCACCAAAAAAAAAACACTTTTTGGAAAATAGGCAGATAAGTGAGACAGTGTTATCTTAAAGGAACAGTTCACCAAAAATGAAAATCCATCCAAGAACAGATTTGGATAAATGTAGCATTACATCACTTGCTCACCAATGGATTCTCTGCAGTGAATGGGTGCCGTCAGAATGAGAGTCCAAACAGCTGATAGTCCAGTCCATCTAATGTGAAGCAAAAAGCTGCATGTTTGAAAGAAACATCTGTCATTAAGATTTTGTTTAGCTTCAAACCATTGCTTCCGCCTAAAATACAAGTCTTTCTATCCATAATATTGCTTTTTCCATTGAAAAGTTGTCTTGTCTGAATCCGGAGAGAAATATGCACAGGTCAAGTACTTTTTACAGTCCAAAACGTTCCAGTTGACGTATGGATTTTGAAGTGAGAGGACAACAGTGGATGGACTTTTTCACTGAGGGTTGTGCTATTATGGATTATGGACCCGTTTTTTGGCCAGTTTCAAGTTAAAACTCCTTAATGATGCATTTGTTTTTTCCAAACACAGCTTTTTGATTCACAAGCCATTCATTGATAGACTTGAGTCTTGTGAAATATTAGGGTGTTTTTAACAGCTGTTTGGACTCTCATTCTGACGGCACCCATTCACTGCAGAGGATCCATTGGTGAGCAAGTGATGTAATGCTAAATCCATTCTGATGAGGAAACAAACTTTTCTGCATCTTGAACAGCCTGGGGGTGAGTATATTTTCAGGGTAATGATGTAAAGGGTGATTTAAATTTTTTGGTGAGCATTTTTATTTAAATTTTTTTACATGCAGTACTTTGCCCAATAAATGTTTTTGACCATTTGAGCTCAATCTCAATTAAAATATATATTTACTTCATACTGGAAATGGAAAGAAATTAAGAAACTGTTCTGTATCAACAAAGTTTACTGTAAGATACTGTTCACATATGAAAAATAACATCAATATAGTAGACTGACAAATGAAACCAACTATGAAACAAACTAGGATTGAATGATTTTCCTCCTCTAGCTCATACAGTAGGTGTTGTGGATTGATGTAACTGTAGCATTACTGAGCATGCAATACTTTGACTTTTCCAGTAGTCCAGAAATAGATGTTTGTAGTAATATGCACATTTACATGTGTACAAGGTCCAAGGCGTATGAGTTAGCTTGACAGATCAGACATATCTCTTCAGTTTGCCTCCTCTGATCATGGTCGTGGTCTTCCTGAAGCATCAGAAAGTCTAGTTCACTGTTTATACTCTTCTGTGAGCATCCAGAAAGAGCAAATCGTTTAGAAGGCAGTGGAGAGGTGTGAGCCAAGCTGTGTCCGTCGGTCATTCATCTGGTCTATGAAAGATGAGAAGGAGAATTAAGTATATGAACACATATGCGCTATAGTTAAAGTAAAGATGTGTAAAGACTGTAGAAAAATACTCCTGAATATATACTCAAAAAACATTTCATATTTTAGTATGCTTATTTATTTATTACATTTAATTAATTAATTTTCATCCACTTATGATGACCTTCCTGCAGTTCCTGAGTTTGGGAAACCTTGTACACTCTTAAAAATAAAGGTGCTTAAAAGGTTCTTCACAGTGGTGCCATAGAAGAACCATTTTTGGTTCCACAAAGAACCATCTCTTTCTTACCTGAAGAACCTTCTTTCACCACAAAGAACCTTTTGTGAAATAGAAAGGTTCTTCAGATGTTAAAGGTTCTTTATGAAGCACCTTTATTTTTAAGAGTGTATCAGAGTATAAATGTTCAAACGTTTAACCAAGAATTTTTATTATTATTTTTTAATCACTTGCTGTGTACAATATTCAGTCATTTTTTATGTCCCTCCTAGGCCATTGGACTCCTACTTTTGGAGAAAAACTGTCTGTGTGCTGAAGATAATGGCTGAAATTATGAGCATCGGCAGTTAAGTCGGGAAAGGTATGAGGAAGAAATATTGATAAATCAAATACCAACCCAATATCACATATCTGTTCTAAATACTGAGGAATCTATCATTTATTTTTATCGCTATTAATTTATTTTTATTGTCAATTTTGATATTATGAACTCAAGCAAAGATGTATATTTAATCATATACTTACATACTTCCTCTTGGATTTCAAAGTTTTCGACAACTTGTAATCTATAAGAGAAATTTAGATATTCCATGGCTAGATGTTTTGACATATTAGGTCATAGATGGTACAAAGCGTTCAAATATATTAAATTTATATACGACAATATGGAAACAGCAAAAAACTGTTCAAGATAATAGTAGGATAAAACACAAAGTTACCCCCAGTCTGATGAAATTCTTGTTCTGTAAAGCTGACGCTGCAGCTTCTGTTGAGGAAACAGAATTATAACTGAAATTAGATATGCATAAGGGATGTCACATATTCAACAAATACTTCTTCACTTTATACTTCTCGCTTTTCATTATTCTCTTTAAAAGGCAGTAATAGATCAAGTGTGAGCCTAAGGATTCGTAAGATAGGAGAAATATGTTTGTTTCTGGCTTAAGCTATTTCTGGCTCCAGTGTAAATTTTTAATGAGGCAGGAGACATGGAAAAATATCCATTCCAAATCCATTTCACACCATTATGAGGCCTACAAAAACTGAAAACTGGCGAAACATCTGCAATAATAAATAAAAAAACATCAGTACTATTAGATTACACAGCTACAGCTTTCGATAGCTGTTAATGGACAAGAATTCCTTAAACATACAAGGCTGACTGGAAAAGTGCATCAGCCAATTAGACAGCTTTTTATCTGTGGCTCCAAAGTGGCTAGTAAACACTGCATTTACGGCACAGGTGACTGCTTTAAAAATCTGCATGCTCCAGCTGAGCAACTGGCAGTGAGATGAATGGCGATGCTAATGGACATTGGACAATCTTAAAGAAAACTACACTTGTCAATCCATTTCATTGGGTCATTAAATAACCTTTTTTGTTTTCTTTTCTTTGTTTGGTGATGTTTTGTGTTATCCATTTTTCTTTTCCTGTTTTTTCTCTTTTATATAATTCATATTTAAGGACTTAAAATTGTATGTGTCTAAATAATGCTTTTATTGTTGGATGATTTTTTTCCCCCAAAAAATAAAATAATTATTTCAACAATTTTTGTTTTGGTTGTGCAGCACCTTGGTCAACACACATTGCTTTTAAGGTGCTATATAAATAAACTTGACTTTGTTTACTTAAGAGAGTGCTACGCTAGTCTTACAGTAAATAATATCTCCTGGAAAATATGTTTTGATGGCTTGATCAGAAGGAAACTGCAAGAACAATCAGTATATTTGTGAGCAAGAGCTCTGCATCATGGTCTGTATTTAAGAGCCACATGAAAATAATCTGAAACAGTGAAAATCATTTTTTTTAAAGTAGTAATGATCCTTGTGAAAAAGAAGCACACTTTATCATATTCTTTAAGAAGTACTTATTAAAAAGGACATAAGTGCGAACTGAATGTAATGTTTTCAGACACTCATCTAAATGTTAATTACAGTTGAATGAAAATGTATTATAGTTTACATTTATTTCAATGCATTTTGCTGAAATTTAGAGGGCTTGTTTGACCCAGTTAAGTTCATATGTAAGTTCATAATTACTTCTATTGTCTTCTGTTGGTTAAAGTGATTTGTTCAATTAAATGTAATGACCAGCCTTTATAGTAAACTAAAATATACTTGAATGCCATTTCTACTGAAACATGTATTGTAAAAAGCGCTATATAAATAATGGTGACTTAATAATAATAATAATAATATGTTTAATTTATATAGTGCCTTTCCCAAGTGCTAGGACACTGTACAAAAGCAGTAACACAATAGACAGTCGATTCACATAGTCATAAACCGTTATTTCTCAAACAATTAATCAAATTAAGTGGGCAGTAGACATTTGCCCAGTCCGGGGATAGACATGATTGCAGTTGCATATCATGGGACAATTATGTACTGGAAACAGAGATACAAGTAACAACAGAAAAAGGATAGTGTCAATAAGTAACAAACAAAGAATAGTAAATGCAACAAAAATACACAGAACGAAAATACTCAGAGAGAATTACAGCTGGTAGTATAGGATGAGGAGAGTGTCTAAAGAACATGTTATGACTGATAGTATTGGGTAAACAAGTAGGTTTTGAGTTGTGATTTAAATACAGAGAGTGAGGTTATTGTCCTTAGTGCCAGTGGTATAGAGTTCCATAGTTTAGGTGCAATTACAGAAAATGACCTGTCGCCCATTGAAGATAGATAATAGAAATCTAGGTACAGTAAGAAGTTCACATCCTGCAGATCAAAGTGATCGAGGCGTAAACGTAAGGAGACAGTATAGATCAGAGAGATAAGGAGGAGCAAGGCCATTGAGTGATTTAAAAATAAGCAGAAGAATTTTGTATGTAATGTCAGATGATATAGGGAGCCAATGGAGTTTAAATAAGATAGGGGTAATATGAGCAGATCGTTTAGTATGGGTTAATATTCTTGCAGCAGAATTTTGAATATATTATAAACGAGAGATAGAGTGCAATGGTAATCCGGCAAAAAGAGCATTACAGTAGTCGAGGCGTGATGTAATAAAAGCATGCACTAATGATTCAGCATCTTTTGGAGAAACATAGGATCGAAGTTGGGCTAAACGGCGAAGCTGGAAAAATGCAGCTTTGGATAGTTTACTAATGTAAACATCCAGAGTCAGTGAAGGATCAAGAGTAATGCCTAAATTTCTGACAGTAGCAGATGGAAAAATTGTTGTAGCATCAAGGTTGAAACTGGGAGCATTTACTATATTTTTTGTTAGTGAAGGGGGGCCAGTAATTAAAATTTCTGTTTTGTTCAAATTCAAACTGAGAAAATTAGAATTTAGCCAGGCCTTTAGCTCATTAACACAGGTAGATAGTGATGTGGTCTGGTGAATAGAATCTGGTCTGCATGCAGTGTATATCTGAATATCATCAGCATAACAGTGATAATGAAAACCATGACGACGGATAATATGTCCAAGAGGCATGATGTAAGTAATAAATAGTAATGGCCAAAGAACAGAGCCCTGGGGAACACCCTGACCGAGTAAAGTAGTGGGAGATTTATAATTATGCATAGTGATGTAGTATTGTCTATCAGTGAGATAGGAAGAGAACCAGGATAGTGCAGCACCTGAGACACCTATCTCTGAAAGGCGAGAGAGTAATATCTTGTGACAGACAGTATCAAATGTTGAGCTGAGGTCGAGCAGCAGGAGAATGGAGAGATTACCTTAGTCACCAGAGAGTAACAAATCGTTGACAACCTTAAAGGGGTCATATGATGCAATTTCATTTTTTCCTTTCTCTTTGGAGTGTTACAAGCTCTTGGTGCATAAAGAAGATCTGTAAAGTTGCAAAGACTAAAGTCTCAAATCCAAAGAGATATTCTTTATAAAAGTTAAGAGTCAGCCACACCCC